TCTCATTTCAATGTAACTTGGTACATAGTTACTTAATATTTGTGCGTATTAATTACCTAATTTGCATAATTAATTAATTTTCAGCTTTTCCACTGATGTCAAGAGTACTAATCGTCACATTTCAATGAACCAATTGACCAATCAGGCACAATCTTGTAATTGAAGTAGCTTTTTTTGCTGCACATAAACAGGAGACACACAACATCTACTATGCAGCATGTGCATTATACGAACCCAGGACGTGTACCATCTGTGCATCTCGAATGGCTACACAAATCTGCACACTATTGGAAACTCAGTCAGGGAAATTCTTATGTTATAAAGACTGTAGTATAGTTAATTTTGGAATTATCTCTAAAGAAATGAATGACAGTGTGCAATATCCTTTCAAGTTCTTACATAATGTACCTGTATTTCAATAAAGTCTCATTATTACTGAATGTGAGTGTTATGACTATCCAAAATGGAATAAGCAAATTAAAAAACTCAAACTGTACCAGCTAAATATGTTTGGGACAACAAGACAGAATGGAATGCTTTGTTACTATCCATGATTGGCTGGAAGTCAGCTGATTGGGACATGGTGACCTGGTCACAACACTGTATTTGGCAATGTTACCAATAGTTCTTGTGCAAGCCTCTGATTACAATGTAAATCACTAAGATAATGAAATAATGTTTTCATTTGATTTCATTTCCAGGACCATTACACCCCATTACATCTCGCTGCCTGTTATGGATACCCACCTATAGTGGAGAAGTTACTACATACAGGTGCTAATGTGAATGCTGTCAATAAAGTGAGTGTGTTATCAATACAAGTGTAGTATATCAGTGTGTATACATGAGCTATACCAACTCACTCGCATTCATATTCTAGATTTCTTGTGAAAAGGTGTTTATTTTTGAGACTTCATATTTTCATATAACCTGATCTTGGCGCTTATCGATGGATTTTATTCTAACGGCTGACTGGTGGCCATTTTGTTTGAATGAATGCGCTTCTAGAGCAATATCTCTGTCATGCTTTGACTGATTATTAGTCCCCGTTTAGGCGAAGCCTTAAAGGGGAGTACTAGTTTTACTTTCTTTCTCATTTTCAAGTTATCTCTCACATTTTCTCAGAGACTCTGCAGCAGCTAGATGTCAATGAAACTTGATGAACAAGTCTGTGTTACATATGCATGTCATTTTTTTTCCAGATCTGAAAATCCTAAGTGGGTCTTTTTCAAGATTTTCATCGATCGGTAGTGTATTCGATCGGTAGTGTATACTTTTCAGAACTCAGAACCAACTTTGCAGAACCTCAGAACTCAATTTCAAAATAGCTTCCTTATCATCGGAAGTCATCTTTTAGGTTATTATTAATATGACCACACCCTACCCAAAACATATGTAAATTAGCTAAATCCAGTTATTTCCTTTGATCTCAGCAACCATTGAGCTGATTTCATTCATATTTTGTAGGATTACACCTTGACACGAGTAGATGTGCTTCTGACAGTAATGGCCATGCCCTCCCAAAAATATGCAAATTAGATCAATGCAGTTATTTGCTCTTATCCCAGGAACCATTGGACCAATTTTGTTCATACTTAGTAGAATTACACCTTGACACGAGTAGATGTGCTTTTGACAATAATGACCACACCCTCCTAAAATATGCAAATTAGATCAATGCAGTTATTTGCTGGTAGTCCAGGCGATGGGTGCGAAAATTGCTCAGATGATGATAAAAGCATGAAACTTAGCACACATGTATGTCACATCATTCTAAACATTTTGAGAGGTGGAGCCAATGCAAACTGTAAATAACATAGCAATGGTTGCTAAGCAACATATTCCCCATAGCAACCGACATGAAGATACCTGCATGCATATGATATGTATGCCACCAACATAGAAGGCCCTGCAGAGAGTTTCAACATGTGGTGCACACGTCGGAAGACTGACAGTCCACAATTCCTGTACTGGTACACAAACCTTGAGTTGGAACTGCTTGCCTTGGCATTTGTGCGTTCATTGCGTACTGGTGACTTCGATTTGTACAAAGATACACTGACTAAATTGACATCTTGGTTCTTCAGTCTCAACCACACCCATTACGCCCGCTGGATGTCAGTTCACGTGAGAAATATGTGTAGTCTGGATGACATCCATCCTGATGTTGCCCGAGAATTTTGGCATGGCAAGTTCGTCATGGCCAAGTCCTTGAGAAAATTCTCCCTCATCGCAATTGATCATAGCCATGAGCAAAATAATGGTGTGATGAAGGGTGAAGGGGGAGTCATTGGACTGACACAAGATGCCGATGCTCTTTTACGATGGGCAGTAGCAGGACCAGAACTTGCCCGTGTCATATCTGAATTGGAGTCATCCATGGTAGGGAAACGAGAGAGTCCTAGCCAGAGAAACCACCATGAGCAAACTGATGCTACTCAAAAGAAATTTGCTACACAGGTCGATACACTGGTCAGAATAATTGAGGGTATGGGGAGTCCGTTTGAAGAAGAAAGCCAAGATCTTCTGAGACTGCATTCAAAGAACATCATGGACAAGCAGTCAATCGAGTGCCTCACTACAATACAACCAAAGGGTCAAGAACAGTATGGAACATTTGTAGACGAGCGTCTCCGGGCTAACATCAAACCAATAACAGCATGCAACCATCACCAGAAACAAAGTAGTACTGTTCAACAAGCAAGCACACAAGTCAAGGAAAGCAGGGACACATGTCAATCTTCTCAAAAGCGAATCATCCCTTTTTGCAAGACTGTATGTTGCATGTCAGACAAGAGATGGTGATTTGGACAATTTCTTCAGCCATGAAAATCATCAATTTCCACCATCCCTTTCTTCATATGGACAATTACGTTTGGGAAAAAAGTCAGATCTCATTGGCTGTCTTGAACAACATATCCAGTCTCCATGTAATTCAAGGCCAGATACGGATGTGAGCATCATGGATGGTGCTGTCCTCGTGAACATCCTTAGACCTGGAGGATGCAAGACATTTGGCGACTAGCTGCAAATGTGTTTGTTCCACACATCACAAGAGAACAGAACAAGGCTCAACGAGTAGATATTGTGTGGGATCAATACTTTGACAACAGTCTAAAAGCACTGACCAGGGAAAAGCGTACTATGGGTCTTAGTCAACGTAGGCGTGTTGAAGTGTCCAGCCCCATACCAGAACCCTCTTGTTGTCACTGATGGTGCTAATTTACTCTGTATACCTGCACAAGACACATCCAGCATTACTCCCTGCAATCATGAAGAAGCAGATTCCAGAATCATGGTACATGTTGCTGATGCTGTCAGACAGGGCTTTCACAAGATCCTTGTTCGGACAGTAGACACCGATGTAGTTGTTTTAGCAGTAGCGACTGTCGAGCAGCTAGGAAGGATAGACCTCTGGATTGCATTTGGAAGTGGCAAGAACTTTCACTACATCCCAGCACATGAGATAAGTGCCTCCCTTGGCCCACACAAATCTTTGGTACTTCCGGTGTTCCATGCTTTCACCGGCTGCGACACTGTGTCCCAATTTGCCCAAGTTGGAAAGAAGACTGCATGGAAAGTGTGGGAGACGCATGATGAACTCACTGGAGCCTTCTATGAACTGCACAGTGCACCAGAACAAATATCTGAAGAGACTGAGGCTTCACTAGAGTACTTCACCATCCTTCTCTATGACAGGACAGCAACAAGTATCTCCATCAACGTAGTCTGAAAGCTTCTATTCACACGAAAAGGACTTCAGATGTCATCCCTTCCTCCTACCAAGGTGGCCTTACAGCAACATATCAGAAGGGAAGCATTGCAAGGTGGGCACTATTGGGGACGTACTACTATACCATATCGCCAGTTGCCTTCCCCTTCTGAGTGGGGATGGACTTGCCAAGAACAGTGGAGGCCCCTTTGGACAAACATACCAGAAGCAAGAGTATCCTGCCCAGAGTTGCTGAGCAGATGTAGAGACTGCAAATGTGTAGGAGCGCACTTAAAATGCACCGTTTATTGTACATGCACA